ATCGGTGGTAAACACACTCCTATCAAGGGCAAAGAACCTTTGCTCAACTGATTCTGACCGACGAAAAGAAGAAGAAACCATCATTTGCGACCTCAAGAAGAACGGATATACGGGCAGCTTCATACACCGCATTGCCCGTCGTCAAAACCGAAGCCGACAACACCGCCAGTCGCAGGTTGATACGAAACGCCGGCCAACCACGCGCATCAGCGTCCCATACATCAAGGGAACAAGCGAAGCGCTGGCACGGGTGCTAGCAAAGGAGGGCATTCAGATGGCCCACAAGCCAATTTCAACCCTTGGACGCTTTATGCCACGACCAAAAGATCGGCCCCTTAAAGAGAAAGCACAGGGTGTGGTGTACGAGATTCCCTGCGCTGAGTGCCCGGCCTCGTACATCGGGGAAACAAAGAACTATCATGAACGGATTCGTCAACACAAGGCTGATGTGCGCAACTTCGATCAAGAGCGCAGCGCGGTTGCTGAACACTCTGAAAAAAATGACCATCGGATTGACCTTCTAAACATACGTATCCTGGACATTGAAACTAATCCTCGCCGGAGGCTCTTCCTTGAATCTTGGCACATTCAGACCACGCCAACAAACATTAATAGGTCTCTTGGCGCACTACCATCTGTGTATGTGAACGGACTCCACCAGTTGTCTTCAAAAAACGATCAAAGAGGAAGAAGATGGGATGATGCACATTCACCTCCGTCATAGAGGAAAAAGAAGATTGCGGCTCCTTTCCTCCATAGACGCCCCTGAAGAAGAAGCCGAACAGGCTTCGAAACGTTGGGCCCCTGATTTAGGGATTGGTTGGTCGTCGTATTTTAATAATCATTCCCCAACCAGACAGACTTCTGTCTAATGTTTACTTTTAAATCTCCCTAGGTTCACGTTCCGTAAAAACGCAAACAGTGTAGAATATACGACGCAAGCGCTATTGGCGCGACCCTAATTACTACATTCATACGGATGATAGTTCGCTTTGGCTAAATTTTGATTCGACAAAACCAGATGCAATGAAGAGGAAACTCGTATTGGTGAGCGCAAATAAATCGACATGAAAAGCATACGCTATTACTCTACTGGGCCTTTTGAAAGACAGACTTGTTGTTCTCATTAGCACGTCCAGCATAACAATACCTGTAATACAGGTCGCTTTGCAATCGGCGAATCAGCCTGCGCCCTTCGCTCGCGAGCACATACCACGCGTGGAGGGTCGCAAACTGATTCGCCGCTAGCCATGAAGGTCCCTTAGCCGAAGGTACCTTTATGATCGTGTGAATGGCCTATGAGGCTGTTATCGGGCAATCTAATACTCCATTTACACGATCATAAATGTTTCTTTAGCTCAAGCACCTTTATGGCCAGCGGTGAATCAGTTCGTGATCCTCCGCGCGTGGCATGTGCTAACGACCCAAAAGCGCGAGCTGATTCGCCGATTGAAAGGTGACCTATGTTAAAGGTAACTTTACTAGCCGTGTGAATGGGGTATTTATTAGAAACTTTGGCAGGCTTTATGACTGAGCTAGAAGACTGGACGCGGTTTTAGGATATTCCGGGTCACACACCATAACACACCGCCACTAGACACATGTCATCACAGCTATAAACATTAGCGTTCTAAGACACGGGAAATGCCGAATTACTCACAAAAACTGTCACAGAACGGCGAACCGTGCACTCCAAAGCACGTAACTGCAGTGAACAAACCCTTAGCTCCCGAATTTAAAAAAAAAAGCCAGTGTTGAGTATTTTACGCCACTTACCGGAAGCACAGATTTTACATGAGCGCTGCGTCTGGCTGAGACTCGTATCCTCCTGTACAATCCGTGCCTCGCACTGGCCTTCGCTAGATGACGTAAAATATTCAGCACTGCGGCCTTGTCATTTAGGACCTGTTTTCCTAAAATCCTGCATGAACTAACGGGATTAACGGTTCAAAATGTTCCTACTCGCCGGCGCCTTCGCTCAAAAATGGCGTCATGTAGCCAGGGGCAGAGAGGCCGGGAGAAGGACAGGAAAGCGCCGGCCAATCACTGCGTCACGTGAGCGCGCGTCATATCGTCATTGACAGGCGCTTTCGCTCAAACATGGCGTCGCTCAGCCAAGAGGAGAGAAGCTGGGAAAGGGAATAACGTAATCTTTTTTTTTCAGGGCCCTATAGTTTCCCCAAATACATTACCAGGAGAATACATTCTACTCTGCCCATTTGGTTTAGACAAGGTGCGCGTACAGCGCCAAATCCTCCCCAAGCGGTTTGGAGACCCCGCGTCGAAGAGAGCGCTTGCGCGTCGTGCTATCCATGATGTCGCGCTTTCGCGCTGCTCTGAGAGAGAGGACTGCCGCCGACGCACCGAGATACCGGGTTCGCCAAGACCACAGAGACGGCTGTCTCCGGTATCCCAACGGATTTCCTCAACCATAAATGGCGGCAGCCACCCCTCGCGATTAAAAGGGAAAAAAAACCCGAGACTGCTCACGTCCAGCCATTCCAACTACGTAAAAGTTTTCGTCGCCGAGGCCATTGGATTTTCGCGGAGCAAGATATCGTCTGTAGTAAACTATTGAAGTTGCCCCAAGCTAGGTCGTTGTGACGAATCTTCTTTCCACTCCGGCGCAGGTGCCCGACATTCACGACGCTCCGCGCAACAAGAGCGCTCCGTCCAGCCCCATGGTGATCCGGGCCTTCTCCCGCCTGGGCAACTGGACGGGCTGGAGCTCTCGCACCAGCAGTAAGGACCCTTTAATACCTGATATCGGGGGCCTCAAGCGCTGGCAGAGTGAGTGCAATTGTAAGTGGAATTCGGCTGGCCGCCCTTCTTGACTAAGTCTCCCCGGACCACACTTTCTTCCGAGATTCCTCCTCCTTTTGAGTTTGGTATTTTATTTTGTCCCCTTCAAGCCCCTTGTTTCACCAAATTATCTGCACAGTCACGTTTACCGGCACTTTTTTTCTCCCCTCAGAAGCGAGCTAGCAAAATCAGCAACGTAGTATAGCTGGGTTGCTCACATCTTCGCATCTTTACACCGGAATTATCTGCTCCTGTTATGATTTTGCGTGTGTTTGTTTGCTCTTTTCTCACTTATGCCCTGGTTACACTAATGTCTCTGAATCCTGGGATCCAGCAACTTTAGGTCCCAGTAAAGCGACTAACAAAAACAATGTAGACCGACGAGCCTCAATCACATGCAGCATGTATACACGAAGGTAATATCTTTGGCAGTCTTGAAATCATGCGTGTTTACTGCACCAGCACCGAAAGGTTAAAACTCCGGTTTGAGCGAATTGGTTCATACTGATTTAAAATGTTCAAACGCTCAAACAAAACAAGGGCAATAAAGCGTACTGCATACGGTAGTCTGAATGTGTCACCAATGTCGTATACAAGATACCGTTAAGCTCTGGAAAGGTTTGCGTCGGGCAGACCGGCCGCTGTTTTAACGATAGGGCACGGGAACGTAATCTTTCTGTGCGCAAGGACGCAAGGGGACACCTTGCTGACCACTGCAGGCGATGCTCTGGCCGGAAGACTCTTTTGGATGCAACAAAGTTTTTTTTTTTTTTTTTTTTAAGCAAAAGATAAAACAGATAGAGAGAGAGGGAGAGATTATAGAAGGGTTTTACATCAAAAGGAAAGATGACAATTGCGTTACCATGCCTTCTCTTTTCTGCTCTAAAAAAAAATTAACTTTTCCAGATAGCTGCCGGTAAGAGTGGTGATTGGTTATATTGCAGGTGTGAAAAAAGATTTTGTGTATATAAGTGACGATGTTTTTCGAATAAAATCAGTTGCGAGTTAGCGCCCGTCCCGTCGTCTTTGTATTTTACTGTCTTTGTGCTGTTTACGCTTTTTAACCTTTTAAACCGAAAGTTTGCTAACCTGCCAAAGTCACGTTCGCGTGCATGTTGCACGTGGTTGAGGCTTGTCGGTCTCAGTTTTTTCTCTTTTTCACTCTAGTGCGACTCAAGGATTATAAATGCCCCGCGTCTCTTCATCCACATGCAGCACGCGCAGACTCGATCCCTGCGATCTGTGAATTAGGCGCATCCGAACAAGGAAACACAAAAACGCGTTGACCGAAACATGTGGTTCGTACGGGCACTCCGAATGGATGTATGGATAGATGGACGTAACGGGCGGTATAGCCTGCGCCACCTAGCCGAAGTCTTGACTCCATTCCACGATTTCTTATTTCGTTTCTATTTGTATGTTTAGTGCAGAGCAAGCGCCACTGGCGATCGTTACAAGTCGAAAATGTGACTTTCTAGGTTTTAGATACGGTGTCAGGAAGATACGTCGGTTTACTAGGTGCTGATTTTTTAAACAATTCTGGAGAAAGAAAGACTGTTTCCCGCGATTTCAGATTAGACGACGGAAAAACGTAGGCGAGTTGGCGAGGGCAGGCAAGCAATCGCGCTGTTTTGCTCCTCCCTCTAATGCTTTGTTTGTCGTCACGTGTAAGATGGAACGTCTTACACGTGGCGTCTTACACAGCAAGGAAGTTCCCACAATTCGTAGCGCACTTTGCGCGCGACCTTTCGGGATTTTTGTTAACGGTCCGTTTACGGTAAATACAGACCGCTGTAAATGACGCTGCGCGTGCTTCGCAGGGAAGCGGTCGCGAGGCAATAGTTTGAAGTGTTTTTATTCACATTTCACGCTCCCTACACGCTTCACGAGAATTCGCCTGTTTGCATCGTGTAGCAACACAATGACACCTCGCAAAGCACTTTAACGTGTGCTGTGCGCGCTTGGCAGGTAACGGGTGCTCCGTTCCAATAACGGTATGGAAGCGTGAATTTTTCTGAAGAATCCGCTAGATTTGACGTGTTAGAAGTGTTCAAAATAGGTTTCTAACTACGTCTTTTTATGACGGTAATGTGATTGAAATAATTTGTGGATTCTAAGAATCCGCAAGTTTTCCGCGTGCGTATCTTGCTTTCAGTCAAACTTACTAGAGGGGGTCGGTTTGGGAACTCGAGCGGCCTCCACTGGAAAACCGCGGGCTACTGCAATAGCGGGCGAAATAATGGCGCTGTCGACACCGTTTGATCCGTTCCCCTAGCGTCGTCTACTGCACTCGCATCGCGTGCATGGCCTGCTGCGGGCTCCGCCAGATCCGCTGGGAATCTTCCACTAGCATGCATCTGTTTTGGAATCATGAACTGATCTTGAGTTGTAAATCCACCTTTTTTTAGAAATCGCCAAATCGAGGCACCTATTGTTGGGTTTGTGACGGTTGGAAAGAGTTCACACGGTCGTCCAGCACACACTTTGAGGGCGTCAAAATTGCCCCAAACACTCTTAACCTTTCTTCTTTATAAGTTAGTAGAAAATAATTTGATCCTCACGTGACCTTTGACACCATCATTTCTTGACTTGCGACTAGGTTCCTAAACTTTTGTAACAAATTCCGTAAACGTCGGTGCGCGTGTCTGTCCGGTTTCTGTCATCTTTCGTCTGCTTTGCGTTCGTATGTAATTGTCACATGAGGGGTAACAAAACCGGCTGCAGCCTGAGGAAGGCTTTTTTATATGGGAGTCCGTGTGTGTGGTGTGTGTGTGTGTGGGGGGGGGGTGCTTTCGTTTGCTGTTCTTCGTCGTTCAGTCTGAGAAATATGTGGGGACATTCGGAAACAGACGTTGCACAACATCATTTTTATCACAAGCGTCTGCCCATCGATGACGTGCACACGAATTTTTTTTTCTTATGTTAGCGTGAACTTTTTTTAAGGTTCGCTTTCTGTCATACTTTCAGGCGTACAACATACTCGTTGATTGGCGAACGACTCAAAGCTCGAGGCGCCAGAAAATAACACTTTTGACCCCTACGCACAGTCACGTTTGAGTGCGTTTGACTGCGTTGCGTCGAGAAACGAAAGCGAGTCACCGGCACATCTGGGCTTCGTATGAAGCATGGAATCCAGTTCAAGGAATAATCTTGGCACGCGACATAAGAAGCAGGGATGTGCCGGTTTCTCGCAGCCGCAACGCAGTCAAACGCACTCAAACGCAGCTGTGCGTAGGGGCCTTCACGAGCCTACGACAAGCCACCGATGACACGAGCGAAAACACGAGGAACAGCAACGAGCACGAGGCACCGCCGAGAACCGATCTTAGGCAATAAATGGCTCTGATCTTAGGGCGACTACAGCACCACCTCTCGCGCGCCCTACGAAGTGGTGTCCCCCCAAAAAGCGAGTTCCTAAACTGACCCCCTCTAGTAACGTTGCCTTTGATATAAAAGAAATTCACGTGAAATTTCCGTGGCCAGTAAAAGAAAATAAGTGTGAAAGGGTGGAAATGAAAGAATTGAAGCTGGAGTTGACATAAATCATTTCGTTTTCGCGTGGTTGCAACATGTTGCCTAAACATTAGCCGAACAGTGAAGAGTCCGGCCAGAAAATTATCGGTCAGGGTTGACGCGAGCGTGCTAAGAGCCGTCCTAATAAGCTTATGATTTGTCGGCAAAAACTAGTGTGACAAGTACAGGGTGAAACAAGGAGACGGCAGGCTCTTTAAATCGACCGGAAAATTCGGTTTCTTAACCTATCGCGCTACGACTTTGTGCAGCGTTGCCCACAGATGTTGCATTTTTTTTTTTTTGTAAAATTTGCAAAGAGGGAACTTACCTGAGGAAAAAGTAAAGAAAAAAAAAAGGCTTAGCTCCTATGGAAACGCAGCGACGCCACAGGTCTGCAAACAACACGGCGCCGTTTCGCACGGGAGACAAGAGATGGCGCAAGCGGTCGCGACGCCAACTGCCGCCAACGTACGAGCAGACGACGCCGAGAGCCGGCGTATTTAGCAGAAAAGCAACTGCAGTTCCTTGTTGTTACCGCGCCTGTTTTAGAGCGCAGCTCTTACGGGCCCGTTTCCGGCTTGAGCGGCGTCGCCGTCGCCGTCGCCGTCGGCGTAACCGCGCGGTGCATCATGGGAAATGTCCCATAATGCACCGCGCGAGCCCCCCACCGGGGTCACGTGACCTCGTGGGGGGTCACGTGACCCCCCGAAGTCACGTGACTCCCCTGAGGTCACGTGACCCCCTCCTCGAGGTCACGTGACCCCCCGAGGTCACGTGACCCCCGCCGATGTCGCGTGACCCCCCGATGACGTCATCGTCACTGATGACGTCACCGGCATCCACATCGTCATCGTCATCATGACTGATGACGTCATCGGCATCCACATCGTCATCGTCATCATCACTGATGTCGTCATCGGCATCCACATCGTCATCGTCATCATCACTGATGACGTCACCGGTATCCACATCGTCATCGTCATCATCACTGATGACGTCACCGGCATCCACATCGTCATCGTCATCATCACTGATGACGTCACCGGCATCCACATCGTCATCGTCATCATCACTGATGACGTCACCGGCATCCACATCGTCATCGTCATCATCACTGATGACGTCATCGGCATCCACATCGTCATCGTCATCATCACTGATGACGTCACCGGCATCCACATCGTCATCGTCATCATCACTGATGACGTCACCAGCATCCACATCGTCATCGTCATCATCACTGATGACGTCACCGGCATCCACATCGTCATCGTCATCATCACTGATGACGTCACCGGCATCCGCATCGTCATCGTCATCATCACTGATGACGTTACCGACATCCGCATCGTCATCGTCATCGTCATCATCACTGATGACGTCATCAGTGACGTCACTGATGTCGTCACCGGCATCGTCATCGTCATCATCACTGATGACGTCATCAGCGACGTCACTGATGACGTCACCGACAATCGCATCGTCATCGTCATCATCACTGGTGAAGTCATCAGTGACGTCACTAATGACGTCATCGGTACCCGCATCGTCATCGTCACTGATGACGTCATCAGTGACGTCAGTGATGACATCATCGGCATTGGGGGTCACGTGACCCCCCCCCCCTGGTTAGTTTAACCCCCCCCCCCCCCCAGTGCCCTTCCCTCCTCCTCCTCAAGAGCTGCGCTCCAATTCGGTGTTACAGGGAGTTGTAAGCGGCTTTCATTTTTATTTGTTTCTGCGACTGTCGCCGCCGGCGGAATGCGAGCCGCTTATGAGTTGAAAGGATCGTCTGCTAAAGTGCCGGCTCTCGGCGCTGTATGTTCGTTCGTTGGCGGCGTTCGTTGCGCCATCTCTTGTCTCCTGTGCGAAACGGCGCCGTGTTGTTTGAAGACCGGTGGCGTCGCTGCGTTTCCATAGGAACTAAGCCTTTTTCTGTCTTTACTTTTTCCACAGGTAAGTTCGTTCTTTGCAAATTTTACAAAAAAAGAAAAATGCACCATCTGTGGGCAACGCTGCACAAAGTCGTAGCGCGATAGGTTAAGAAACCAAATTTTCCGGTCGACTTAAAGAGCCTGCCGTCTCCTTGTTTCACCCTGTATTATCACTTGGCAGCAAATAAGATTGCAGCGTTGGCCGCTAAGAACGACATACAACAAACCAAATCCTTGTATTTCTTAACCTGACTATAATAATTGTTTTTCTTTTGGCTCCTTTATAAAACAAAACACGCCATTAGTCCGATAAGGATAGGAGCAGTAAAAAAATTCTCTTATCGTTTTTTTTAATAAAAAAAATATCTAGGTGACTAATACAAAAAAGACTTTAAGTAAACTTTCTCTTCAACAACATATTTTACTTTTTTTGCGTGCCTGGAAATAATTTTGGCAGTTGTACAACCTCATGTTAAGGCTGTAAGCACATGTGCCAGAAAGGAATCGAAAATTGCACGGAATTCAATTGCTTTGTGTTGTCTTCGAGAAACCAAGGTATTCAGTGGACACAAATCAAAGCTAGATTGGTTCTGCTAAAGACATTATTCAAGGCTTTTGGGTAATAAACACCTGCCCGCTACGATCCAATGGGAGTCAGTCAAGCAGCACCGATACAGCCAATCACTCAATGTAAATGTGCCGCAAACACGCGTTCTTTTTCTTTTTTTCTTTTTTGTACGTGATTGGTTTTACCGGTGACAGCGAATCCTGGCGTTGACTGTAGTCGAACAGAAAATGAAACGGAATACCGTATTTACTCGAGTGATAGCCGCACTGCTTATGAAGAAAACCTGAGGGTTCGCTCTTCCGAAAAGCATGCGGCTTGCCAATCACCGCGATCGGCAGCATGATTCCGGCGGTTTACAGGACAGAGATAACGTCTTCGCGCGAAGATACCATCTGTGAAGATTGCATTTGTATGGAGAATCGTGTTCTCAATCTAGTTATTCGCTATGTTATTTATGCGGAACGCGATGATTGGCTGTATATGTCTTCTGCGGGAAAGCAGACGCAAGGGCCTCGTTCATAAATAGTGCGGCTATTACTCGAGTAAATACAGTATATTGGATTTGAAGAGTTGGCTATTCGTACAAACTATTTACAGCTGACGAGAACTACTCACAGTGAAACCCGTCTTTCGGCGTGAATTGTTCTTGCGCGCCGTAAATAATAACCCTTTTTTCATTTTTTTCACGTTCCAAAGTTTCTGCGATTTCCGCATGGTTTCTCAGACATAGATTTCTGCGTTCACTGATAATCCCTGTAGCTAAAAACCGCAAACCACAACCTTCGTAACATTTCCACGGCGGAACCCCGTCACTCGAACAGAATAAAACCGCCAAGATCAATCCTAAAAAATAAAAAAAAAAAAAGCTTTAACGCCAATCACGACAGTCGTACTTTGTCCGATGCTCCGGTGTCGTTCAGCTGACCGAGCTGCATCTCCTATATGCAGGAAAACAGACGGTATAGCTCCAATAGCAGACTACCGTAATAAAACGTCCCACGGCCCACGCCCTTGTTTCTCCGAATTCACCGAGGATTATTACGGTCGTTAAAAGGGCTAGCAGTACTTTCGTATAAAGGCAGATAGCGCTAATGCACGGCCTCTGCATTTTCCATTCATCGCGACGCAAGGTATATGCGTCGCACCCCCCAGAACGCAGAAGCCACAAAATTGCAGGGTGTGGCAAGACTCGAATTTCCATTTGGGATATAGCTTACCAGGAAAGCATTATTTTTTTGTTGAAAAGTACAAGAAAAGCATACCTATACGCCGGCCTGCGCAACCCCCACGCCGTCCATGTTTTGAACGAACGGGGGACGCTCACGAACGGATGCGGAAAAAATGTTCCGATTGTTGAAACGGGAAGCCTTTCTTTTGAAACCTCTCTTAGGGAGATACATTTTTGGGGATTCTTCGAAATTTTCAAAGCCATCAAAATTTTGATGGTTTCAGTTACATGTATACTGTATATTTGATTTCTTCGTTCTAGCACGCCCTGAAATAGCACAGCAAAACAAAGATATGAAACCACTGCTTTTAATATAACGTACATACCGGGAAGTATATGATTTTGTAAAGTGCTAAGAACCACAATACGCGCGAGCGGTACGCCGATTGAAAATCCGTTGGTAGGGAGATGTTCTTTGCAGAGTGTTCAACGTTTGAAGCTACCACTACGTATAACATATACATAGAAACGATCTGGCTTCTGGCTCCTGTCGTCAGCACTCCATTATTGACTACGAGTATTTTTTTTATTTTTTGCGTGTGTGTTGTTTTTTTACTATCTCATACATGGTGACATAGGGCTTTGACAACTCATTCATTTGCAATTCCAAATCGTCTTGTCTTCCTCAAGGTTACCACGAGAGAACGCCTTTTGGATTGGGACACTAACTGTTACTTGCGAAAATACAGTTGATGGTGCTTTACCTTACGCTAGAGCTTTTAACTTTGAGGTTTTTTGAACAGAGTCGGTAAGGGTCACATACATAAGGACACTACGTGAACCCTAGTCCTCAAGCAACCAATCAGAAAACACCATTGCTGTACATAATACGTTGTGAAATTAGGTACTTTGAGAGCATCCTGTTATTGCAGGGTAGACAACAAGTAAACGACGTCTCATATTTTTTTCATAAGCTGTGCTTTTTACGTTGTGGCTAACCCTTCATTACTTCCAGCTATTTGTGCACTGCCTGGCCACTGCAACCTAGTTGCCTGCGTAGGGAGTAGTACCGACACTACCGCACCCTGTCGCTGCTTGCGACAAGTACGATTCGTCGTGGAGCATAGGCTCCGATAAGCTGCTTCTTTGAAAGTGAGCGTCTCGTTCCAGGCAAAGAGAAGGAGAAAGAAAGAAACACTGTAATGGCCGGGACCACTGTCACACTGAGCGTCTGTGCGGACGCTCACAAGGTCGACAGGGCAAAGCTGTGTCAGCACGAGGTAAGAACTCCCAGCAGTTCCAACTTGTCCGATTCTGTCTTCCGATTTTCTCGCGTTCTAAGCAGACTTTAAACAGGCTCTAAACAAGCTCTAAACAAATTCCAAACAGGCCTTAAACAGGCTTTAAACAGGCTCCAAACAGTCTCTAAATAGGCTCTAAGCAGGCTCTAAACAGGCTCTAAACAGGGGTAGACTCGTGCCAGAAGTTTTAGCAGCTTTGTACACAAAGTATGCAACGAGTTATTGTCGACAGGTCGGTAGCGTAAAGTTGCGTCGACCAAGTTCAAAATTAGAGAAGATGATGGACGCCTGTTTCTTCCACCTGTATTAGGTACGCTCAGCTATTCCTTGCATTGTTGTGCATGGAGTGAATGAACCCCGATTGCCTCCGTGCCTCGTGGTCGCTGTTGCAGCTGGAACCAATATGTCAATCAGATTTTAACATGCACGAAATTTTCCGCGTCCTCCAAAGTTTCTAACTTCACTGCAAAGAAGGCCCCTGTGCGGTACCATTTAGAGTGTTTGCGTGTCTGACACACGCTTAACTTGCTTTCCGAAGTGATACACTTATCAACGTAAGTGCTTGCCGCATGATTCAAGGCATTCTTCGTGGGAATTATTGTGGTTTGCCATATTTTGTATCGAGAAACCAAAATCTAATTTGACCGCTAGATGGCAGTTCAGTTGCGCTTATATCACAGTCGTTTATTGGGAGAGTTAGGCCATTGATTCGATTGAATAGGTGAGCATCTTGCGGTCAACCACAGGCCGCGAAACAGCCCCTAACGGTGGTCGTGAACTCTAGAAATGCGACACGACTAATTCAAGCCGTTTTAGCGTCGCTAGGGTGAAAAGGTATAACTCTTGGTGACTGAAAACTTGGCGCATGTGAGGTTGTCGTCACGTCCATATTCAACGGTAGAATAAACGGACCTGCGTTCCAAATCAGAGCAAACTGCGTGGTTGCGGTGCGGAGCCCGACTAGAGCCCGACTCTTTGTGTGGCTCCTTTTCTGGTACCACTCATCAGTGCGTCAACAAGTTCCATGGTAGACTCTACTCGTGCGAAACACACAAAAGCCAAACAGTTCGCATGGTTACTAACTTGCTATTTCTTCGCTTGCCTCTTCGGCAAGCAAGAGAATCACGCAACACGTAGAGGTGGTATTTATACTTCGATCAAACATGGGCTAACCGCAGAGGCTACAAGCGCGAGCTGGTCGCTTCGAAAGATTCTTCCCCAGTTTCGAACACTCAAGCGGCGGAGCAGAGAACAAAAGCGGGGTGCTCGCGCTCGCAGGAAAGCATGGCACCTATGACTTGTAGATTCTGAAGGTTGCATGTTTCGTTTCACTGCGCTTTGCGAAACCGGATGTCAGCGCAGAGCCGTTCTGAGTCAGCCGCGATCCCCACGTCTTCTCTCTTCGATCAGGTTGGCGTTCACTCACCAGCAGGGTGTCGAACCGGAACCGAACCGAACCGAAAACCGAACAAAACCGTTATTTTTAGCCGAACCGGAACTGAACCGAACCGAAATCTTCGCCGCCATCTTGGAACTGAACCGGAACTGAACCGAAGAAAAATATAACGGTAACCGGTTCAAAATGATCATGTGGCAATAAACAATTGTCTGCGGTATTTATACCTATTAATCAAATCGTCATCTAGAGAATTGGAATGTATGGCAAATTCCGGGTTTTCGTGCCGCTTTTGTATTGGCACTATGATTAACCACGTGTCACGTTGCCACATGACGTCACGGTTTCAATACACGTCAAATGATGTCACGTGACCCCTGGCGTCACGTGACTCACTGCGTCAACTAGATTTAATTTGAGGAAGTCACTAGATGTATTAGCCTTGTTGACAGCGTGACGTAACATGACATCACGATTGGTGGGAATGAATGTGGGACAGCTACCGCCACTCATAGATGGCAGTAACTGTCCAGAGTTAAGTGTCATCATTTGTTTGCTCACGGAGGCGATACTGGGGAAACTAGCCCTTAACAGCTCAGCTGTAAAAAAGAAGTGTGTGTGTGTGTGTGTGTGCGAGTGTGTGTTTGTGTGTGGGGGGGAGGGGGTTAGTTTTAAAAACACACTGTGTTGTAAAGGTTCCTCTTCCCGCATCTTTGGCGCAGACCAAAAAGCGTGACCCCGGAAACTACTTTGTTTGCAAAAATGCTCTTCCCAAAAAGCACGTTTTTCTCGCACCAGACGCTAGCGTCGTTCCTCACGACGATGTACTAGGAATAATAATACGTGCCTTTCAAATACTTTGCTTTCACTGAGCTCGGACCTCCTGCAGCGTGCATTTTGCCCCATCGAATTCGATTTTCTCAGCAAGAAAAAATCACAATGACCACCAGCCTATAGTGTGATGACGTCACGTGCATATCATGTTAAAGAGTTCAGCTTTCTGGTGAAATGTGGTGTTCGCAACACTGGCAATAAATCTCATAATTGTAAAGTTGTGCAGTATTTATAGCAGTCTCGCGATGATATATGGCAGCCTAGAGAAATGTTAGAGCGCATGACTATTCAAGCATGGTGTTGTAAAGTGAGGGCCCAGAACAAGTGCAGGTAAAACCGAATATAACATTAGCCTCCCGAGGAAGTATTTTGCGAAGTTTCGAGCTCATGCGAACTAATGAAATGTGATTTATACTAAGATTTTAAAAATCTTTGTCTGTCCTTCGCGCTATTTATGTAAAATTATGAATTTCATTGCGTGCATCGTTACGCATCTCTTATTGCAGTAAGGCGTTCTGTAAGGGATTATTTAGAAAAATAGCATTAATTATCTCTCTCTTTTTGAATATTTCTTGTATTTGACTTCCAATCTATCATGTGAGCACACAGTCCTTTTTGGCGTACCCTGCAACCCGATGTTTCACTCTGCCAATCAGCTAACAAAAAAAAAAAAAAAACTTTTATGCAGATTTTACAGCTCGCATAGTTTCGAGTATCGTCCTCCCGCTTCGGTCTCAAGCGGTTATGTGAACATTATAAAATAAAATGTATTGATTATTATAAGAATTAATTTAATTACTAACTGAATACTTGACAACATAAATAAAGGGCTGACCACCCTAAAGGAATGCCCCCAAATCATCTGAAAGGTGTTCTGCCAATCTTTTCCGGCGTTTTTATCCTCGACAGACATGTTTTAAGTGATATGAAACAGCCTTAATCGCATTTCTGATTTTGAAGCTAATTTAAATAACTATGTGTTCCTCACACATAATAATTCTGAAACATATAGAAGTCTGCTGTTGCCTCTTTTATATTTAAATATTACTTTTATGTACGTGTGGGCTGGACAAAACAGGGGCGCGCGGCGGAACTATGACGATGGCGCACGCAAACCGTCAATTAAGTAGCTGCCATGTAAAGTAGAGCGGGAAATACCGATTCGTTTTACTTAACGAAAAAGAATCTTGGAGGACGTTTAAGTTTTATACTTAAAAGTGGAACGCGACAGTGTTACCGGGCCTCGTTTGCATCGCATTCTCATTTGCCGCGCAAGCGTGCCTCTCGTGGCCTAGTCAAAAGCGTCTGACTCACAACCGAAGGGTCAGGGGTTCGAATCCCCCATAAGATTCTTATTTTTGTTTTCTTTAAGGCAAAGAAATTACTTTATTAGGTGAAATCATCTGAGACATACGGCGACCTTTAATTCGCATTACATTTCATGCTTTAATCACTCTCATTCCACGCGTGATGTCGCGTTTCACGTGGGCATTGTCGGTTGTTTGAAATAATTGCGCGAGGGCATGTAGCTCTGACGTCATGACCCTATCGACCAATCAGGATTTTACAGTCACGCCACCGACATCGGCTCTTCTGTGACGTGAGCTCCTTAAGGGTGACGTGTTAAAATCACCAATTAGCAAGGGTAATGCTCATTTGCAAATAAATTTACCGCCATTTTGTAAAGAACAAACCTCAACAGCCAGGTTATAGGCAACCCGCAATGCTGTTTGGTTCGGCGCCATCTAGCGACTGAAGCAAGAAATATTGGGTACCCCTGGGAGTGGCGGCTGCATTGTTCAAACGTGACCTATTACTCTGGTGGCGCCGCTGAGCCTAGTGTCCGAAGCAAGAAATACTGGGTATCCCAGGAAGCCGTGATCGCGTAACGTGCCAGTAGAGCGAAAGCTACGGCCCTGGCGGGCCAATCGGAACGTGACTGCGTATCACCGGAGCGCGCAGCATCAGTATCAGGCTTTTCGTATCAGGCTTTTCGCTGCGTCATGCTCCAATATTTGTGAGTTGCGCTCGTATACGTCGCGCATTTCAATGTGGGGCTTATCGTTCGCCGTTTGCCAAGTTACAACGAGCTAAGGTATAACCGTGCGCTCTCACCCTGCTGGCGCCGCCTGGCCGTTGCCGGCTGCCTATGCCAGCTTATCCTGTACAAATGTTCACTTGGGCAAGCGGTAATTTTGGGCCAGATTCGATCTGAGTGCGAAGGTGCGTATAGATTTGAGCAAACAATTGTGATTACTCCTTGCTGCATGATTAGTTGCATGCATGCGGTGCTGAGTGTAAACAATGTTTGGTTAGAACAATAAGAATTCTGATTGCCGCCCGGTATTTCTATAAAAAATAGACTGAAAAAAGTACCCTAAAACTTTTGTGACATTTTGAAATTTCCATTGCTTTTAGCTGAGTTGCGTCATTTCATGATAGATATGGCCACGAGGTGCTTATTTCATAATTTTATGTGATGTAATTATTTCCTTAGTTCATGGACACAATCACGATTTCACTTTTAACACTGCGACACAAAGTTGTACCAATCACCGGTATTTTAGGTAACCTCACACACTTCACGACATTTTATACGTTGTGTAAATAGATCAGCTTGAACTTTAGAATTTTGCTTAAACACTAAGAAAGGACAAAAAAATACAGTATAGTTCTACATTTCAAACTGCTCTATTTACAGGTACGTACCAACAAGCTCAACTGTTTACTGTTGTACTTAAACATTTTA